AGGTGGTGGCAGTGGGGTTGCAGGGGAACTGGCCTGACTCCCTGATTCCCTTCCTCAATCAACGCCCCTCACCAAGTGCTGCTGAGCATGCCCGGAAAACCACTCTCCTAGGTGGCCACAGCATCTGATTCACACACTTTAAACTCTGCCATCCTGGAGACGCACCAGGCCAGTTCCACTGCAGCCCCACTGCCACCACCCAGGGCACAGCTAGTGCTGCCACACGCTTCTCTGGTGGCACTGCGTGTGGAGCAGCCAGCCACTCGCAAGCTTTTGGTTGTGTCTTCTTTTGCAAAATGCATCACAACTTATTTTCAGCAGAAAGAGAAAAAAAAATACAGAATTTGAAAACAAGATGACAGGAAATTAGCAATGGTTATTCTATTACATACTGTTATCTTCAAAATAATTGCCCAGATGACCAGAGACAGGCATGCAAAATTGATCAAACATGAAATGAACTAATAGAAATTAGTAATACAATTACCTTAGCTATCTTGTGTGTGTGTGCTTTTTAATTTTCCCCTCCTTCTTTTTTCCTTTCCCTCATCCTAGTTGTTCCTTTCTTTTGAGCAGCTTCCTTCCTTTTTTAACAATAGCTACTGTACCTTTTTTAAAAAAGTAAATATGCCGCAAATATTAACTATAATAAATACAGTGATCCCTCGCTTATCTCAGAGTTTGCACTTCAGACTCCCTGTGATAAGTGAAAATCAGCAAAGTAGTGATGTCATATTTATTTTAATATAAATATATGTGTGTGTGTCATACACTTATACACATATATATGTATTTTAAGGCTTTATAAACCCCACACTCTTATAAACTTTTCCCACACTTTTAAAAACACTTCTAATATTCTTAGCCATTTTCTAAACTTGTAAACCTATGTAATTTTACAAAAATATGCATACTCTGCAGTACAGTATATATTCATCTGCTAAAGAAAGACATATCATAAATAGTGCATTTTATTTCAGTTCAATGTCTCTTAATATGTTCGAATTAACATTTTAATATATTTTTATGCATTTTAAAAATTTTTAGGCAAAAGTTCAAACCACAAATACTATACATATGGTACATACAGAACTGTACACTATTACAAAATCCTGTGATATAGCAAAAACAATATCTGTGATAAATAATTTGATTAATAGTTTTGAAAACCCATGAAACAGTGAATCTGGGAACACCAAACCTCGAAATAACAAGGGACGATTGCACTGATATGCTGCCGGTCACCTGTCAGCTTCCTTTCCAACCACTGGGACAGATATGCTCCTTTCCTTCTGCCTGGGCTTCCTCTACCGTCTCTGGCCTTGTTCATCCCCTCCTAACAGCGACTGGTGCATTTCATAAAGCACCTTCTACCACCAGGCTGAGCACGGCAGTGAGGACTCTGAGACCGGAGCCCTTGAAGCCGCACTGCCTGTCACACAGCAAGTAGCCACCAGAGTCTACACGCCTGACCGCCACAGCACAGGGCCCCTCTCGTCCCTCCCAGAGACCCACCTTTCTCTGAAATACTCTGTGCTTCTCAACCCATCCTCTCAGGCCCTGCTGCCTGGCTGTGCGGTTTGCAGCTCAGCTCAGTAACCAAGCATGTGGACCCTTCCGATGCCACAGCTTCTTGCCTTGGGCCGATAATTTCATCTTTGTGAATTAGACCTTGCAGCGTTTGCGCCCGAAGTACAGAGCAGGCATTTGGTACATAGCATCTGTTCGTGGCGCCTGCACCTTGACTCCTACAAGGTCTTAGGTCATTCAGGAGGGGGTTCCCTGCCTCTGGGATGTCACACAGTCTGTGGGACACTGGGGACCCAGTGGGCTAGTGTCTCAAAGGTATCACTTTTACGATCATCTTTTGGCAAACAAGCAAATTCCAGCTCTCTTAGCCATCATGAGCAGAGTCAGGTAATGAGAACAAGCATGTGAGTGGCAGACAGCTCAGGACTCGTGGTGCCTCTGGGCCGATGCTTATGTTTGACTTAGGAGTCTCCTTGGGCCACCTGCCCTGTGCAGAACTGTGCAAGTTCTGGGGAAACTGAGGTCAGCACAGCCGTGTTGTATTCTCCGCAGGAAAAAAAAAACTTTGGGAAATTCTTCCACTGCCTTTTGGCAATGCCACTAGGGACACCTTCCAGGATGGGAAAGTAGCCTGGATCTGCTGTCCACGCAGGAAGCAGAAAGCGGCAGGTCATGCAGAGGATGGTGCGTTCTCCTTCCTTTCCTTAGTCTGAGGATTGGAAGCCAACGTAGGCCGAGTAAGATGTACGTTTCCCAGGGAATCCCATCCTGTTTACCTAGGCCATTTTGTCAGCTTCTGTAAAGTCTGTGAGTGGAGGGAGCTAACAGGACCACAGGGAGAGCTGCGGGGCCGCTCCACTCACCCCGAAAAGGCAGCGCCTTCATGGGAGCTGGGGTTACCTCTCCCTCCCCACATGGGCAGTGTCTGTTCCTCAGATAACCAGAGCAGCTAGGGTGGCAGCAGGGGCGCTCGCAGCCTGGCACTTCTGACCCCACCCACCTTAGAAGCCTGAACAGGCATCCCTTCTCGGTCTGGCCCTCTGTCTCTGTCTCCTGCAGCACGGCTCCCTGGTCGATGTGATCACTACCTGCCTGGTCCCTTGCTCAGAGATTTTGATTCAACTGTTCTTGATTTGAGTACTCCAGGGCCACTAGGCATGCACAAAACACCCACGCCAGGCAAGAGCTCAGTGCACCTTGGGGCCCCCGAAGGCGCCCACCACCCCAAGAAGCTGACAATCCGAACTTCACATCAGTTCTGTGGTCTGTATCCCTTTCATTCTCACATTCTGGACCAAGAGTGAGGTCAGTAAACAGTGATCTGAATGTCACATCTGAGTGCCCAGAAAGCCTCCACGTGAAGGCAGGCAAAGAAGTCCAGCTCTGCCCCCTCGCTGTGCATCCCAGACGGGGGAAGGAGAAGACTGCTCCACCTATGGCAAGTGAGTCTTTCCAGGACTAGAGAACTGCACATAAACACAAAAGATTGAAGTGACTTTGCAGGAGGTGGGGCCAACCTTACCAACCGGAGCACGGGGGAGCCCTGGGTGCTACTTCTGAGTGCTCTGAAATTCCTGAGCACCACGGGGCAGGGCATGTGGCATTGCTATGTCATCACTGCCCAGGAAAGGCAGTGAGTGCCAGGCCCAGGGTCCCAGTGGAGCCATCTGTCATGGGGCCTTTGCACAAGGTGGTAGGGGAAATGATTAATCCACTTGGCCACTTAGCCGTGGACCTGGATGGAAGACAAAGGCAGGCAGAGCGTAGCAAGGTGCTTGTCCTAAATCTCATGCCCCAGAGGGACCAAGGAGCTGGCTTGTGTGGAAGAGGGAAGGCTTGGAGAGGGAAGAAAGCATACAGCAGCAGCTAGAGATGTTCTAGCAGCTGCTTTGTGCCTTCTCTCCAAAGCCTGTCTCCATGCCCCACAGAACTCCCATGGGAGTTAATCACTTGTTTCCCACCAATGTGTGGCACTGACAATAGGCCCCTTTCTACAGAACACTCCATCCAATGGAAAATGAACAAACAAGGACTCTCCCTCCCCTTTACTCTCTCTTTCCAGGGCCAACCACTGTATCAACTGATTGATCCATGCGTCAGTCTGCCCATCTGCTCATTTCCTTTTCTAAATTTCTGTGTAAAAAATGTGTAATTGTTTATTTTTATTTATTTTATTTTTATTTCTTTTTTTCACATTCTATAGGGATTTAAAGTTTAGCATATCAACAATTGTTGGAAAATACCTATTCCATGTTATGTCTAAGGCAGTTGATATTCAGACTGACAGTGATATTAAGCTCAACTGCCTATGTTATAGGGTAATAAAATCAGTAAGCTTCTCTTCTGGAGGGTTAACAACCTAAGTTTGCAGACCAAAAAGTTAAAGAAAAAGAAGGGCTACAAGGACAGCCAATATTTTGGCCCTAACCCTTCAAGGTCTTTTTCTGTGTTTTTGTTTTCTCCCCTTTCATTGCTAGCAGGAGGCTACCTTGGGGGACCGCCCAAAGAAAAGCCCAGACAACTGGAGTTTCACCCTTAGGATGTTGTTAGTATTACGAGCTGTCAAAGCCAAAACCAACATGAAAATAATAGTAACAATAGGTAAACTTGCTTCAGGCTTCCCTACGGGGATCATTCCAATCCTCCTCCAGAGAAGCAGTGTTGTTAGAGTGATGTCACAGGAGTTGTGTTGTGGCCTGAGCCCAGCTTGTCCCAACACTAAGGGCAGAAACTTAGTCCTTAAACAAGAATAGCAAGAAAGCAACAGGATCGTCTTAGGGGAGGGAATGAGTATGTTTGGAACTGTACGGCATGAAAGTGGTGAAGACATAACCTGGAGCAGTAAGAATATATTCATGTGGACCTGCTGTAATTCAAAAAGAAGACTCTCACTAAAAAGAGAGAGCTACAGTGGACGGGATATGCCCCAGGTTTCCACAAAGTCTAGAAAAACATGGTTTCCCCAAGCTACATGCCTGCAGTATCTTCTTTCTAGAACATTCAAACAGCCTGCCAGGCCCTTAAGCCCCGACACTCCACTGCCAGGCTTCCCTGCTGGCCACACTCCTGCCCTCGGCCACTGTGGGAGAGCCCCCGACTTTGGCCCTGAGACCAGCCACAGCCACCTCCTGGAAAGGTCACCAGGGCTCTGATGCCTGAAGTGTTTTCCACTCAGGGATGGGAGAATAATCTTTAAAAAGTCAACAAGTCTGTCCTGCAAAGGAAATCCTGAAGGATCGCGGTGGGCTGTCTGATCTTGGTCCGTCTACACCTTGTCTTCTCCTCTGGCCTGACCATGCCCACAACACCAAGCCCTAGAGTGGCACACGTAGTTTCCAGAACACATGTACAGCCAGACGCAGGAAGAACAGACAGAGAGGAAGGTGTCCTGAGAAGGTCACCAGGTGACGCGGGTTCCCAGAAGTGTGGCCCCAAAGGCGGGCAGATCACAGAAACAGAGAGGCCCTTACCTTTCCAGCACTGCTGCTGTCCCAGGCTGGCTTGTGCTATGACCAATGCCTTCGTTCTCCTACGGGGCCATTTGCCCAGCAGTTTGTGGGGATCTCACATCTGGGGAAGGGAAAACCACCGAGGGCTCACGGCCCTCTCTCAGACAGAAGTTACCCCTTGGCTGCTCGGCCTCCCTGGGCCCAGTTTTTCTCCTCTGAGCTTCACAGCTCTGTCCCCAGAGCCTCGCTGCTGTTCTAAAGGCAAGAAATGATTCCCGGTGCAATTCCGGGTGGTTGTGTGTGCAACTTCCCGCCCGCCCACGGGAAGTCCTTCATATCCCCTTATCTAGAAAGCTCTCCATCAAGTGCACAGACCCGTTTGGCTGATGCCTTTCTTCCCGACTTGCTTTTTTTCCAAAGAAAAACAGCAGAAAAGCGAAACCAGCACAGACTAAAACTGGGCTAGAGCCACACAATGTAGTAGGAAGCAGAGCTTAAGCCTAGGAGAGGTGATCATCAGCTTCCACTGCATAAGTTCGAGTTCCTGAGAGTGCCTCGTCCTTGCAGGGCCAGGACGTCAAGGAATAAAAGAACCTGCAGAGGATGAGGCTGACCCTGGGCTTCCCTCGCTGTTCGAGTTCCTCAGGTTTTCCAGGAAAACTGAACTTCTGTAGATAGAGCTACGCTTTCAGTCATCTCCACGATGCCGATACTTCAAGCTAAGCAGATGGGTGGAAGGGTCCAGTTGGCAAGCTGCGGTGGGCTTCTGAATTTACAAGTGAATTACATTCAGAGTTTCTGAGTTAGAAGTGGCCCCATCCACTCTCACTTTCCAAGCAAGGAAACTGAGACTTAAGGAGAAATAGTGGGCCAGCCATCCTCTCACTGAACTTGCTCTTTGCTGTGAGATCCTAGAGCTCTGCCCACATCAGGTTGACCATGGAGCCTGGCCCAGAGCTTTGGAAGCTGCATGGGAATTTAGGGTCCCAGGGAATCTGATGCAGGCAGCCCCAAGACCACACTGAGAGAAGCCCTCACAGTGTCAGAGCAAGGACTCCAGGTCAGACTGCAAGGTTTGAGCAGCAGGGCCACTGCGCATGTCTCTCAGCCTCACTGAGAGTCAGCTCTCCCTGAGAGAAGGTGGGATCAGAGTCAGGCGGGGCCCGTGGTCTCTCCTGCAATTGGAGAGGAAGAGAGCAAGAGCTGAGTGCTGCTGTGTGGAGCCCTGGGCTCTACTGACCCTGGGTTCCTCTCTCCTCCTGCCCCACACTGCCTCAGTTTCTCCTCCATCTTCGTTTCTTGTTCTTCCATTGCCCTGCAGCTCAGCACCAACAACACACAGGCACAAAGTGAAGAGCAGTCACCCCTCAAGGACTGGCACCAGGAGCTCCAGCCCACACCCAAAAAATCAAATCCCTTCTATAAAGCGGCACAAGAGTTGTACATAATCCACCCACACCCAGCCCATACTTCAGATCGCCTAGATTGTTTATGATAATTATGATGTAAATGTTATGCAAATAGCTGTTATACTGTACTGTCTAGGAAGGGCTGGTGGGGAAGTCTATATATGTTTAGTGCAGACACAATTATTTCCTCCAAATATTTTCAATCCAAGGTTGGTTGAATTCATGGAGAAAAAAACCCTAGGATACTCAAGGGCAAACAGTACAGTATTTGAGTAAAAAGAACATGAATCTCCAAAATCCACACTTTCCCTGTTAGGTCCAGACTCTCATGCATGTTCCCAGCTCAAACTGGTTTACTTTTTCTGCAGGAAGGACCTCTATCACTTTGAGTTCTGGACCAGCGCTTCTTTTGCTGCACCCTGCTAGCATCTCAAGGTGGAGTGCCGTTGGTCTGTGTCACGGAATGCGTGTTAGCACAGTGGCTGTCCGCCCTGAGTCCCCGAGGAGCCATTCCTCTCGTCCGCAGCCCCAGCTCGATGCTATAAACACCGTGTACTTGGGGGGCACACTTCACAATGAAAACAAAAGGCAAACAAAACATGAAGCCACCATGTGGTCCGGGCTATGACCCAGAAGGAACCGCCGGTGGGGAGACCAGGCCTGGCCACAGCCACTGCTGGGACCGACCGTCTCCGAGGTCCTCTCCAGGGCTCCAAGGCTGGAGTTGGGGGCAGGCTGAGCTCTAGCTTCTTCCAACCAACTGCCTGTGGAGCCAGAGCAGCAACACAGGGGTGCCAGTGTCACCCTGACTTCAGGCAGAAGGACCTCCCACCCACCCCCTACCTCTGCACCCAGATGCCAAATGCTGCACAGGACAAAATGCAATCCTCATGGCTCTGTCTGTCATTCTCCCTCATTCTCCCAGGGAAACCTTACTCATACTTCCATTGTACATATTACACGCAAGTCCCTTCGGCACAGGCGTTAAATGTAATCATTCTAACACATCCACCCCATCCTTCATGATAGCTCACATGATTCACACTCTCCTCCCTGGGCCATGTGTCTCTTTGGTGCCCTCCTGCCAGAGCTGTGTCCTGCAGCCACCTGCACCCGAATGACCAGTGTAATCCCTTGCTGGAAATTTCACACCTGCTGCTAGCACAGACTGGCAAGAAATAGAAATTCAACTAAAGAAATCAAAAATTCAACTGCCCCATCCATGCGGTTCCTCCCTTTTTATTTATTTAGTTTTAGGAGTGCACATTTAAAGAACATAATATTTATGCTCCTCAGATAGAGATCCTACTTCCACAGAATGCAGGCCAAGGGACAGGCGGATGGCAGCAACATCCATTCTGAAGTCACGGACATGAGGATTTATATCAACATGAGAGGGGGCCACCTGAGCAAGAAGTGTCCACTGGGAAGAATTCCAAGATGAAGCAGAGCACACTGTGATGTTCAGAGGAGTCTTCACATCACCGTGTGCCCAGTCCCCTCTCCAGCTGGGGCTGCTCCAGCCAGTGGCCCCCTCCCGGCCACCAGCTCGCTGGGGCAGAGGCTCGGGAGTGATTCATAGAGAGAGTGTTTAAAGAGGAGCGTGCAGGCACAATCTCAGCAGCCCTGTCACAGCCCCGAGCATTATGTGCAGAAACCTACACAGTGAGTCAGCAGCGAGGACCCTCCACACCCGCGTCCCTGCAGGGCAAGCCCTGCTTTTCTTTTCCATCTCCACCTGGATGCTGGTAACCCTCTCAGCCCAGCATAGCCCAGGGTCAGATTCTTTTCAGAATTTCTATATGGAGGCTGGGAAACTTCTTCTCTGGCCTGGACCTGTTCTTAGGCAAGAAAGGAACTGACAAGTAATTGGGCAGCTTTAGAGTACACAAGTGGCTTTATTCTCATCTGCGGCATGTGTGTTTCGGCAGAGGCTCTCTCTGCAGACGGGACTGGCCAACAGGCTCAAGTCTGACCTATCCTGGGTTGTATCTTTCGCAGTGTCACCACGCTGAGCACCCACGGGAGTTGTCGGATGCCCTTCTCGGCGTTCTCACCTCTCTGGTGCTCATAGTGCTTTCCGTGGATGGCTCTGAAGCTCTCACCCTTTGTGCCCTCTCCCTATAGTTGCTAACTCCTTTGTGCTCCTGTGGTGGCCCCACACTGTACCAGAAACCCCGAGCTCTCTCTAAGTACAGCCTGGTTTTGGGCTTGCTTGTCCTCCCTGTGTTCCTGGAAACGGTGATATGAGGACTCTCAGCAGCCTCCCCCTGACCCTCCTGGATCTTTCCCGGGGAAGGCCGATGCTAACCTTCGAAGCCCACCCTCTACTCCCTAGCAGAAAGAAGCCTGAGCTGCGACCCATGCCTGGCAGTGACATGTGTGGCCTCAGAACTGCTCACTGACCACATCTGTAGTGGACTCCTTCCTCCCCAGCCCTTGACACAGAGCACAGCTGTGTGGGAGGACCCCAGCCTGAGATGGAATCACCACAGAAAGAAGCCACTCTTCTTCGCTGCCGTCCATGCCCCCAGGTGACATTCCTTGGGCTGACTCTCTGCCTGCATCTGGGAGCAGGTGCTTATCGGGGCAGGTACTGTGCCTGCAGGGCACCGTGAGGCTGACCAGCACCGCCCGGGCCAATACTGCTTGGGCTTCACAGAGGAATTTCTGCCCGGGCTACATCTTCTGTGGAGGCTGCTTGGGGGGCCTCTGCATCTCCTGTGATCCCAAAACACAGCCTTTCATCACAGAGATGATTTCTTTTGCAAGATGACAATGTGACGAGGTGACTGAAACACTACATCACCAAAACTGCCAGAAAAACCCAAGAGTCCCTCGTACCAGGAGGGACATCAGAGCCAAGGACATTAGGGCAGTGGTGGGAGGTGGGCACTTGGGCCTCACCTTGTGCTTTGGATGCTGAAGGAGCTTGGCCAGGGTCCTACACTCATCTGTATTAGGGCTGAGATCCAAGTTTAGACCTCTGTTGTTCCACCCATCCTGGTAATGTCACATCCTGAGGTCCCCTACCCTCACACAGCTTCCCCTCTCTGATTTCCTGGAGAAGTGGTTCTACAGTATTTACCCCAGAATAAGACCTAGCTGGGAAATAATCATCCTAGAAAACCAGAAATCAAAAATGTCAGAACCAGGGGCTGGGGAGTGCAATGACCTGGGTTCAATCCCCAGTATCACAAGCCCTGCCAGCTGGGAACACCAGGCACAATGTCCTGGCCACTGAAACTGGGCATGGGGGTAAACGCCTATAATCCAAGTGCCAGGGAGGTTGAGACAGAAGAATCACCACAAGTCTGAGCTGCTAATGAGACTCTGCACCAAACAAACAAACAAACAAACAATTTTTAAAAATGTCAGATCCAGTAAATCTCACCTTACCTTACCTGCCTTATAGAGTGGCCACCGAGCAAGCGAATAGTGACATGTGCTGTTTGCTTTCACTAAGCACCATCTCCACCAACTACCTGACATCCCCTTGGGCCTGGATGTCTGGTTTGTACACACGAAAGTGAATTTTCCTGGATCCTGGCCTGTGCTCTCTGAGGTTTTCAGAGTGGGCGAGACACGAAGAGGAAAGCTGTTCATGGTGCTGCTGCTGCTGCTGCTGCTGCTGCTGCTGCTGCTGCTCTTGGAAATACCACCATGCTCTACAGACATCACCCAGCCGGGCATAGCTCCAGTAGCCGTCCTCAATGAAGCAACAGCTCTAGGTTCTGCGTCAAGTCCAGCCCGAATGACACTGCCTTCTGGGAGCTCCTCAGGACCCCTATACTATTCTTAGACCACAAACATACTACTCAAGCACAGCTACAGACCAACAGTTATGTAACTATTCCGGGCCATGCACCTCTGTCTTACCTCATTACCAGAAGGAAAACCACATACATCCTTAGCCTCTTCCTAAATTCCTCACATCACTCAATCTTTCATTTATGTTAAGACCAGTAAGATCTGGAGCTTGCGTTCCCTACAGCGGTATATGCTGTGCGTCTTCATCTGGGATGATTCATCTGAA